TTTTTACTATTATTATAAATGGGGTAGTTTTTCTCCTTTCCATTTCTGAGGATTTATCACTGATATACAGAAATGCCTTTGAATTATGGGTGTTAATTTTATATCCTGCTACTTTGCTGAATTCATTTCCTAGTTCTAGACGTTTTGAAATTTTCTGGTGGAACTTTCAGGGTCTGAGAATCATATCTCAGCAAATAGTGCCATTTTGAGTTCTTCTTTTTCTGTGTGTACCCCTTTAATTTCTTTCATCTAATTGCTCTGGCCAGTGTTTCAAGAACTATGTTAAATAGAAATGGTGAAAGAGGGCATCCCTGTCTTGTTCCAGTTTTTAGAGGGAATGCCTTCAATTTTTCTCCATTTAGAATGATGTTGGCCTGGGGCTTAGCATGGATAGCCTTTATGATGTTGAGATATGTTCCTGTTATCCCTGTTTTTCTAGTGTTTTGAACATAAAGTCGTGCTGTATTTTGTCAAATGTGTTTTCTGCATTTATTTAGATGATCATATAATTCTTATCTTTAAGTCTATTGATGTGATGAATTGCATATATTGATTTTCGTATATTGAACCAACCTTGTATCCCTGGGATGAATCCCGCTTGATCGTGGTGCATGATCTTTTTGGTATACATTTTTTATTCGATTTGTTAGAATTTTATTGAGAATTTTTGCATCTATGTTCATTAGAGATATTGGTCTGAAGGTTTTTTTTTTTTTAATGTGTCTTTGCGTAGTTTTGAAATCAGGATGATATTGGCCTCATAGAATGAGTTTGGAAGTGCTGCCTTTTTTTTTTTTTTCTGAAATAAATTAAAGAGTATTAATATTAGTTCTTCTTTAAAGGTCTTGTAGAACTTGGCTGTGTATCCATCTGGTTCTGGGCTTTTCTTGGTTGGTAGACTTTTGATGGCGCCTGCTATTTTGTCACTTGCAATTGATCTGTTTAAATTATGTATATCATCCTGATTCAATTTGGGCAAATTATATGACTCTAGAAATTTGTCAGTGCTCTCGATATTTTCCATTTTATTGGAGTATAAGTTTTCAAAATAATTTTTAATTATTGTCTATATTGCTATAATGTCTGTTGTGATATTTCCTTTTCATCACGTATGTTAGTGATTTGAGTTTCCTCTTTCCTTCTCTTCTTTAGCATGGCTAAAGGTCTGTCAATTTTATGTATTTTTCAAAGAACCAACTTTTTGTTCTGTCAATTTTTCAATTGTTTCTTTTGTTTCAATTTCATTGATTTCAGCTCTGATTTTAATTATTTCCTGCCTTCTGCTGCTTTTGGTGTTGATTTCTTCTTCTTTTCCTAGGGCTTTGAGATGTAATGCTAAGTCCTTTATTTGTTGACTTTTTCTTCTTTTAAGGAATGAATTCCATGCAGTGAACTTTCCTCTTAGAACTGCTTTCATAGTGTCCCAGTGATTTTGATATGTTGAATCTGTGTTCTCATTCACCTCTAAAAATTTTTTAATCTCCTCCTTGATATCTTCTGCAATCCATTGTTCATTCAGTAGCATATTATTTGGTCTCCAGGTTCTGGAGTGGATTTTATTTCTTATTTTATCATTGATTTCTAATTTCAATCCATTACGATCTAATAGAATACAGTGTAGTATCTCTATTTTTTTATATTTGCTAAGAGTTGCTTTGTGGCATAGTATATGGTCTATTTTAGAGAAGGATCCATGTGCTGCTGAGAAGAAAGTATATTCTCTTGTTGAAGGATGAAATATTCTATATATGTCAGTTAAGTCTAAGTTATTGATTGTATTATTGAGTTCTATAGTTTTTTGTTCAGCTTTTGTTTGGAAGATCTATCTAGTGATGAAAGAGGTGTGTTAAAGTCACCCAAAATTATTGTGTTGTGGTCTATTTGACTTTTAAACTTGAGAAGAGTTTGTTTGATGAACATAGATGCTCTATTGTTTGGGGTGTATATATTTATAATTGTTAAGTCTTGTTGGTGTATGTTTCCCCTGAGCGGTATGTAGTGTCCTTCTTTATTCTTTTTGATTGACTTTAGTTTGAAGTCTACTTTATTTGATATGAGGATGGAAACCCCTGCTTGTTTCCACAGCCCATGTGAGTGTATGATTTTTCCCAACTCTTCACCTTCAGTCTGTGGATGTCTTTTCCTATGAGATGAGTCTCTTGGAGGCAGCATATTGTTGGTTTTTTTTTTTTTTTTGACACAATCTGCTAGTCTATGCCTTTTGATTGGTGAGTTTAGGCCATTAACATTCAGGGTTATTATTGAGACATGATTTATATTCCCAGCCATTTTTGTTTAGTTTTGGTATTTAACATGACTTGGTTTCTCCTCTGATTAGATTTTCCTTTAGTGTTATACTTCTCTCTGCTGATTTTCATCATTGTTTTTCATTTCCTTTTCTTGGAATATTTTGCTGAGGATATTCTATAGTGCAGGCTTTCTAGTTGTAAATTCTTTTAGCTTTTGTTTGTCAGGGAAGGTTTTTATTTTATCATCAAATCTAAAGCTTAGTTTTGTTGGATAGAAGATTATTGGTTACCATCCATTTTCTTTCAGAGCTTGAGTTGTTCCACAATCTCCTGGCTTTGAGGGTCTGGGTTGAAAAGTCTGATGAGATACAAATTGGTCTCCCCCTATATGTGATCTGATTTCTCTCTCTTGTGGCTTTTAAGATTCTATCCTTATTTTGTATGCTATGCATTTTCATTATAATGTGCCTTGGTGTAGATCTGTTGTAATTTTGTACACTTGGTGTCCTGTAAGCTTCTTGTATTTGGTTTTCCAATTCGTTTTTCATGCTTGGGAAATTTTCTGCTATTATCTAATTGAAGAGATTGTGCATTCCTTTGGTTTGAAACTCTGTGCCTTCCTCTATCCTAGTAACTCTTATATTTGGTCTTTTGATGCTGTCCCATAATTCTTGGATATCTGTTCATGGTTTCTTACTGTCTTCACTGTGTGATGAACTTTATTTTCCAGATTGTATACTTTGTCTTCATTATCTGACATTCTTTCTTCCAAGAGATGTAATCTGTTGGTTATGCTTTCTATTGATTTTTTAATTTGATTTATTGTATCCTTCATTTCAAGGATTTCTGACTTTTTTTTCATAATCTCTCTCTCACTTGAAGTAATCTTTTGCTATCTGTATTTGCTTTCTTATCTCATTGTTGGAGTGATCAATTTTTGCATGTATTTGCTCATTTAGGTCATTCTTTAATTCACAGATCATTTTAATTATGAACCTTTTGAACTCCTTCTCTGACATTTCCTCAATTTTGCTGTCCATGGGTTCTGTTATTATAGTGTCCTGGTTTGTTTGGGGCACTTTCCTCCCTTGTTTTTTCATGTTTATGTTTATATTTCATGTGTCTTCCTTTCTTGCTGTGTGGATCTGAGACATTACATTTTTTTCCCCTATATTCTTGTGTTAACCATGCAGATTGTCTGTACCTCACCTTGATGTTGGGCTTCCAGACCCTGCTGGTGTCCCTCAATGTATGCTACTGTGTCCTGGACCAGGGTCCTGTACAAGTTGACGTGGGTGGATATGGGCAGCTGGGTTTGACCTCCCATGGTAGTCTGTTGCTGGGAAGGGGCTGTCTTGCACCAGAGATGAAGCTCTGGCGGGTGTCTGCCCCACCCAGGGAGGGATGGACCAGGCCTACTGTGAGCCTGGGTCCTGCATGGGTTGGTGGTCTGAATCTCTTCTATCTCATGAAAACTTTGTAACTTTCTGAAACAGGCCATTTATAGGTTTGTTTTCATCCTTAATTCTTTGATTTTTTTTAAAGTAGGGTTTTTTAGTTAATATTGCTTATTTTGGTCATTATGAGAATGAACATTATTCTGTGAACTTCTATTTAATATCTGAAGTTTTTAAAAGTAGCTTTCAATGACACTGCTTTCCTAAATACAGAAGGTATCTTTATCAACCTTGCTTTTCTTTTAGTATTAACCACAATGATATGTTACATTTATAAAGTACTTGTTGACTACCAGTTATCTTGGTGAATGCTTTCTAGCATCATCATATTTAATACCCATAAATTTGAGAATAGGTATTATTATGTCATCCCCGTTTTGCAGTTGAGAAACTGAGTAGGTATGTCAGTATCATAAGTGAACAGCTACAGGCACTTTCGAACTTGGGGTTCGAACTTGGGATTCCTTTCTGGAATAGATTTGCAAAGTCACACCCAAAGATATGGCAGCTGTGTAACATAAATAAATAAAGCAAGTGGGTATATATGAAAAATAACAAAGCAGGTGGCATGATGAATGATAGTTAAGACTTAGTCAAGATGCTGGCACAAAATAAAGAGTAATTAGCTCTGTGGCAGACTCTGTTGGAGAGTATATGCCTCATTTAAAGGTGAGGTCACTTCTCAACCGTAGGTAGTTTTTACCCACGTGAGAATGCAGACCCATTCCACATTTTTCAAGACAAGACAGAAATCTGTATTTTTTACATGAGGACCCTTAGCTTCTATATGTTGGCTACTCTTTCAAATAAAAATAAAATCCAATGTACAGACCCATATGCTGAGTCCAAAATTAAGAAACATCTGAAGGCTTAACCTGTTCTTTGGGCAGCCAGTTACCAATTCCCTGTAATCGAGTCTGAGGTCTTTTAAACTGTTAAGTCATGCTGCTTCTTATTGCTCCGTTTAAATACCTTCCTTTCATGTGTGCACTAAATGAATTGAGGAAGGGAAGATCTACTTTTTAGCTAATGTGTTTTATTTACTGCAAATGTATTTTATTTACTGCTGTTATGCAGTTGTACCCATTTGGATAAAAACTGCAAAGGCAACCTACAAGTTGCCTACAAGTACATTGTTTTGAAATCCTGAATTCTTCATTTATTTGCCTTGAGTGGTAGAGTTCTGATATAAGGCATGTCTTATGGTTAGTTGATGTGAGGATCCAGGTATTATTGAATACTTAGTTAATTATTTATTAATCATGACTTTCTCTTCCTTTCTTTTGTAACATAGCTTTCACTTTCAGAAGAACAGAATGAAATAATGAAAAATGGCTGTGAATCTAAAGAGCTGGTCTACCTCGTGCAGATTGCTTGTCAGGTAACTCTGAATTTGTCCTCCACTGCATATAAAGTTAGTAAGAATTATTTTGAGTAATCACCAAATTCCTTACTATAGTGTTTTTCTCACATTGCCTAAAGGATTATAATCTATAGAAAGATACATATATTGAAGTGAAATTGGGCTATAAATAACTATTGTAAGAAAATAAGATGGTATTCTTAAAAAAAAAAGAGAAGTGTGTTCATACAATAATACATGGAATGCCCAATTTAGGTTGCAACTTGCATATCTTCTCTTTGCATTTTTTAAAGGTTCCTAAGGTTTTGGACACTTGTATGTAAATAATAGAGATTGTGGGAGTATAGGTGTTGAAAACAACATAAAATAAAGTAAAAATTTCTCCCCCAGTTATATTGGCATTTCTACATGTACCCACTTCAATAGAATCAGTTTAGTAGAATCAGAATACAACTTTAAATGAAGATACTTCTCATGAGAATGATGTCATTTTTTTTTTTTACATTTGAATCAGATGGTGTATAATTTCTCATTTTTCTGAGTGTACAGGTTGCAGAATCACATTGGTCATGCAGTCACGTATATACATACAGCAATAATAATGTCTATTTTATTCTGCTGTCCTTCCTTTCCCCCCTTCCCTTCCCATCACTTCTCTCTACCCAATTAATGTCATTTATTGATCACTATGTTAGTTGAGTTAACTGTTGATCACATATCATGATGGGAGATTTGACCACTTGTCTCTGCCTCAGCTACTCCCTGTTCTGACCAGGGCAGTATTCCTCTATAGTGTCACAGGAAGAAAGTGCATTTGATTTTGAAGAATCTGATGCTTATATCACATGGGAAATACTTAAATTTTTAGTTCTGGTGACTTTAAGGAAAACTTTTCAAAATAAGTGCTTTTATTTTTAGGTGCCAGAATTTGGGATTGGAAATCAAATTTAGCTTGAATATAGAGTCAAAATATATCAAAGTCACATATTTTTCATATATGTTTTGTTGCACGTCATCTCAGTTTGAAGGAGTAGGCAACTCTGAATTACTAAATTTCATGTCATATTTCATAAAATGCTGTATTTAGTAAGTTAGTTTTTTCTCTGAATTACTAAATTTCATGTCATATTTCATAAAATGCTGTACTTAGTAATTTTTTATTGTGAAGTTTTAATAACAGGTCTGTAAATGTAAATCTTATGAATTTTCTCTTTGCTATAGAAGCAGTGAAAGTTGGTGATACTATAAATTCAGTACCTCCATGTATTTTACTCTTTCATTTTAGTGGATAGGTGACAGACCCCTTTAGTCTTGATGATTTGTGTACCTTTGAGCTGGAAATTTAATTCTAGAAGTGGATAGGCTGAATGTGAATGGAAGATCTGGTGATTAATGAGACCTGGGGGAAAAGAAGTAAGGAAATAAAAGTCATGGAAGAATCTCAATAGGTCCTTGATGACCTGAAGTGTGGTTCTATTAAGAGAATGAGAATGTGGACATTGGTAAATTGATTTTTTAGTTGAAAATATTGAAAAATTCTGTCCTGATAAACTGTTGCTAATAGATGAATGGAAATCTTTTTCTAGAGTACATGTTTGGTATGTCAGGAATGAATTTATTAATTCCTGTACAAGCTAACACATTTTAGCATCTCTTCTCACCATTTATTTCCATATGCTCAGAGAATGCAGATATTTTTATTCTCATTAGCAAAACATAATCTCAAAAATATCTATGCTGTTTCACTTAAAAGGCAAACATGCTGTTTGGGACATACATTAGAATTTATAATTGTTACTCAATTGTACTTCCATATATTAGTGACCTAGATGTTAGATAGTTTCCTGGTTGTAAATATCCTGTTCAGCTGCTTAAAAAATTGCAGATTGCTTGGTGTACTATTTATTACATCAAAGTAGTAATTTACTACATTATAATAATGTTTATATTATAATAGTAATATAAGCATTATTATTCTTCTCTGGCTCACGAAGTAATCTTTGAAGCATTCCCATGGTGTGTGTGTGTGTGTGTGTGTGTGTGTAATCAGTCATAAGCCCTATTATAAGCCCAAATCATTTTTTTAATAACTAAGACTCACAAGCAAACCCCTTAATTTTGCAAATGGGGAAAATGAGGTCTAAAGTCCTGTAGTAGCTATCCTAAGCTGCTAATATGGCATATTAGCAGTGGGAGCTTCTAAGGACTTCATTTTCCTGCCTGCCAGTTTTTTTCTGTCTCTCAATGGAATTTTCAGTCTAGAATAGATTTGAAAACTTGCTCAGTCTCCAATTAAGATGGCCGTTAACACTGATGTTATCTATCTGTTCTAGAAGCTATTTATTCGCATATTTTATCTCTGCTAACTTCTAATTTTTAATAATGTACAGTTAACATTCTTTTTATATAACCACACTTCTTGTTCCTTCATCTTAACCTCCTCTTTTCTTGTTCTGTTAGCTTAGATGATGACATATTAAATGTCTTAAGATCTTTTTCCCTTCTGGAGGATAAGCGATTCTACTTTCAGTAGACCTTATTTTTGAACCTTTCATTATATCTTTTTGTCTGCCCTTTAAATTTTTTCTTCTTTCTAAATTGTGAACCCAGAAATGTAAAGACTGTCTTTCACACTGAATGGACCCAAATTCAGTAGGCACTTTTTTATCATCTGCATATCTGGCACACAGATATTATGACATGCAGCACTTCCTTTTAATTCTTAAAACAGCTCTGTGAGGCAGATAGTCTGGTTTCCATTTTACAGAAGATGAAATAAAGACAACAAATGTTAATACCTTCCACAAGGTCATGAAATTAAAGAGAAGGTTTTTTCCAGGATTTGAACACAGCTGTAATGTTTTTCTAATAACATAATTTGTACTTGGTTTAGCTACTCTAAAATCTTTAAGTATATCTCAAATGTTAATGAAGACTTAAGAAATGCATATAACTGAGGAAGTCATGACTTCAGCAGACAGGATCTCCCCTCCCCCCTACACCTTTCAGTGGAGCCTTACATTCTAGAGCTAGTTCCTGAAGGAGCTAGTTCAAGCCAACTGGATATAATTCCAGGCCAAGAGACTACAGTCTTAGAAATACAAAAATATTTAACAACTGGTATAGCACAAATCCAAAGCATTAGAACAGATACTAGTCACACAAGTCTAATTTAGCTGTATAGGTGTGTCTCAGCTGAATATTAACCATGGATAAATCGCTGTCAGATGTCTTAAAGAACAGATCATTAATGCCCTGTTTAATCAACTCCTTCCCTCTCCTACTAATCATTATTTAGAATAAGTTGTCTTCACTAATATAGGCATCATAAAATAGCCTCAGCTATTTCCTCTTTAATCTTTTCATTCTACTTATAAGTATCTGTTGTGTCAAACAAATAAACTTCTGTGGATGAAGAAACACAATCTAGTTTGTGTCTTGATGGTGTTTTGGGTAGGAGTCCTTTTCATTCCGTTTACTTTTCTGAAAATCATGCTATTTTCTTTGCATATCCTGTACTTCACAAGAAATAATGTGTTTAGTTTGAAAGTAGTGAAAATTATTAAAAATCCTAGGAAATTCAAGAATATGTCATGAGAGAGGTTTCTGCCTTTTTTATCTTTCAAAAATAAGTAAACATGAGCTTTTAAGTGTTAATTTTAAAGTGACAAATTTAAACCTATTTATTCAAATACATGCCCTGATGAAAATCCTGTTTTGATCTCTTCTTTCTCTGAGTGTAGTTTTTTGTTATATGAGTAATTGTTGTTTAATAAAATACTTTATCATTTCATTATCAACTTTAGATTAATTGACATTAATTTTTCTTATTCAAGTTCATGTGTATTTACTACCTTTATATTTTAACCAGAATTCATCAATATTTAAGAGTTTATTTTTTCTGTAGATTATTTTGTAAGTATTTACTGTAATCTCAAGGTTCCTTTATGTCATGGTAGATGGGGAAAACAGTTGGTTTCAAGGGAATGCTTCCTTGTCTCAAAATATCTCCCATATTCCAATGTTCCCATGCTTGAAATTCCACCATCAGAAATGCATTCCTCGGTATTAAATCTTTCCTTCTCAACTGTATCCATTTAGAAAATACTGTTATGTCAGGAGCAGGGAAACTGTTAACAGCCTCTGTGTATGAGCAAAATACATAGGCAGATTGCCAGCATTTTTATTTAAACTTTATAAAGCTTCTGTGAAATATAGATGTTACTCCCATTTCACAGATGGGTAAACTATTGCTCACAGATGTTTAATAATTCGCATAAGGTTCTGAATTTAAGGTTAGATGAGGTTAGGATTTGAATCAGTTCTCTTTTTCTCTCTTTTCACTGAACTTTATACATTTAAGGAGATAACAGAGCATTAGTTATTTTTCAGGTAATTTCCCCAAGACAAAAAAATTTCTCAGGACAAGGACAAAGACTGTTCTCAGAAAGCACAACAGATGGTTCCTTTTCTCTTACCTTTATTCCTCAGCCTTGTCAAGAATGATTTTTGCCTATGATTTTTGCTAAGTGAAATAAGCCAGTCCCTCAAAAATCAAAGGCCCATGTTCTCTCTGATATTGCAGATACTAAAACACAATAAGTTGGGGTGTGTGGGGCGGGAGAAGAATAGAAGGTCATTGGATTAGACAAAAGGGAATAAAGGGAAAGGAGAGGGAATGGGGATAGGAAAAACAGAATGAACTGAACGTAACTTTCCTATGTTTATGTATGAATATACCACCAGTGAAACTCTACATCATGTACAAACACAAGAATGGAATGGTATAGTCCATGTATATAATATGTCAAAATATACTCTGCCGTTATATATATCTAAAAAAGAACAAAATAAAAAAATTATTTTTGCTACCCTTGGATATAGTATTTGGTATAGTAATTAATATTAAAAATTCATAATAAATAAAATTGAGGCAAGTGCATATATTAAAGAGTTTTGTTCCTTTTCAAAGTTATTAATCATTTAAAACACTCTGATTATTTACTTTATTTGAGCTG